GCAGCGGGCGGGGCGGAGCCTGCAGCCGGGCTTGAGGCGCCCACCGGAAGACGCTAGGGCGCTGGACTGGGTGGCGGCACGGCCGCGTGGGTGGGCCGCACCCGGGGGCCCACCGGGGCCTGCGCGAGGGCGACCCGCAGCGCTGGCAACCGGGAGGGCGCGTGGGGAGGCAGAGGCGCGGGGAGACACCGCGCTGCGGCCCAAGAAGCGGGGCACTGGGGACCTGGCCACTGCCGCCTCCCGGGCATTAGAGCCGCAGCCGGCGAGGTGTATCCTCGCCCGGGTCCGCGGAAAGCCAGTTCAGGGCACCCCTCCCACTGCGGCCCCCAGAGCCCGGCTCTTGTGGGTGCAGCTGAGAAAGGCCACCTTGGAAGACGGTGGGTTGACGTGGAGCAGTAGCACCCTCCCTAGGCCTCCTGTCGTTGGGAATTTGGAGAAGACCCACCTCCAGTCCGGAGGCCCACGTGAACGTTGGCTGTTTTTTGTTTGTTTGTTTTTTGTATTTTGGTTTTTTTGAGCAATGGTTGTGTTGAGTGGGGATGTGGTCTGTCTGTAAAAGGCTGGGCACGAACAAATCCGTTACCACTCAGTCCTCCTCTAAAGAGACACCCTCTGGAGCTGAAAGCCTCGAGAGCGAGTGCACTTACGCCCGGGTCTCTGGTCCTACCTGCGTCCAAGGCCGATCTGGTGAGTAGGAGGCTACATCGCCTGTGTCTGTTGTTTCTAAGTCCGAGGGAGGCATATTTGGGAGCAGCGAAAAGGGGCACCTTTGAAAGGAACATTCTCTGTCATCAACTGTTTCATAAGTTTCTCCACCTTTGTAACAAGACATTTGTTATATATTCAGAGACAGCATATTTTCCACATTCTCCAGAGTTCATAGGATGTGCAGCTCCTTTCTCTTCATCAGTTACAGCTGAAAAAAAGATACACCAGTAAACCACATACCCTAGCCAACAAACTTCAAAAAGTTGGGTTGGCCTCCTTTCCACGAAGCTAGGACTGTTCTTGGGGCTCCAGATACAATGGACCTGGACTTAACCTGCTCAGATGCCAGGAGTTGGATGATTTAGATGATACATTTGGGTTTTTTGTTTTGTTTTTTTTTTTCCAAATTTGCCTGTTACAAACAGCTATGCAGTACTCATTATACTCGAGGTACTGTATTTCCTCCATTTAACGATTTACCCTCTCTCCCAATTTTGACATTTTTGAAACCAGGATGCATCTTAACAAAGAGGTTAAAAGGACTTGCCCGCTGCTAGGGAATCACATGGGTTGTGATGTGTCTGTCACTGCTTGCCTATGTGAAAACTGCAGCTATGTGATTATTCCATCAGTTGAGATACTTGAAAGGAACTTTAAATTGAGATCTCTAATTGTTTTAAAAAATAACTTTAAAAGATACGCTATGATGCAGCATTAAAACAAAATGTTTATAACAATGTTTAAGAGTTTGCTGTATGCCTAACATTGTCTCTAATCAACATTACAACCCTATGAAGAAAAAACATATATTATTATTCCTATTTTATAGATGAAGAAACTGAAGCTCAGGCAGTTGAAGTGCCTCAGAGTTTTTAAATGCAAGTATCAGGATTCTAACCCAGGCTGTCTGATTTCAAACATGCATGCAGCTTACAAAGAGAGAAGTTAAGGCAGAATCTGTGCATGTTTGTGTATCTTTCGCTTTTTGTGTATGTGTGTATGGAACTGGGAGGTGGAGTCATATCCAAGAGCATTGATTATACTTATTCTCACATTGATGCCAAATCTTTGTTTTTGGATCTTTTGCAGTTTTGAATATATATTTTTTGCAAGCTCTGGAGTTCTGGCTGTATGATCAGTGCTTCTGGATTCCTCATCTCCTGCCTTTTGCTCCTCTAGAAGAACAAAGGCATGCACTCAGACCTCCTCAACCGGCTGCCTCCCAAGGAGGCAGTACTGAATTTAAGAGAGGAGCGAGTTTTTCAGCGTTGTTAAAGTCACATCGGCTTCTAGGAGCCCCTAGGATCTGGTGCCGCAGGAACATGCTGAAGGC